AAAACAAACATTTATACACAATATTTTCTTAAATGTTCTTATCACATTCTCTTTCTCTCTTCCAGTGGGTCTAAGATACTGATAGTAAGCTGATGTAATATTATTGTGAATTGTCACACACAGACTGTGTCTGTTCCAAGCCTTGCATGATTTATGCCCACTACTTCATTCACTTTTACCCTCCCATAGATTTACATCAATATATTATGGTCACTCTCATCTTTATAGTTGTTAAACTAACCGGAAATTCTTTGTGTCTGTCTTCCTCTTCAAATGCTGCTCATTTTATAATGGCTAGTCCAAAGCTTACTTTTTCCTCATCCATTTTTAGAGCTACACACACTTGCATTTAGAGCATGGTTCTGTTCTTCTCTTTGAACTCTCAGTCATCACTGTTCTTTGCTTACCTACAAAAGTAAGATGGAAGCATCACTCTCATTAGATTCTCATGAAAATTACATTTGACAGTACAGTGTCTAGCACTGTAAGTGGTAGCTGTTTTAGTAGTTGACACAAATAAAATGACAAGTCAGATTTTATATACAAATTCACTCAACATAATTTAATCATTCCAGAAGAAATTCACATATGGTTTAATTAGAAATGTTTATCTTTATTGCTTTTTTTCTGATGAAATTAATAGTAGTCAATACTTTTAGGACTGAGAATACTGAGAAGGAACATACCTGGACAAAACACATTTCCACTACCCAAGAATTGATCTTACTAGAGCGTGTGAAACCATCATATAGCCTCCTGGATGGCAAGAGAAGTGCATTGAGTTTCTACCCTAATATGACTTACTAGGAAGTTACCTATGGATGTGTGGTAATATTGCTTAAGTTTACTGGGGGATGAACAAGAATGGGAACTAGACAAATGCTGCTTCAGATATAAAACTTAAGACACCACTCACAAATTTTGTACCATTAACCTTGATAGCCACATAGTATCAGCCAGGAGACAGGAAGGCTGGTGTATGTTATTTAGTGTCCTATGCACAGGGACAAACCCTGAGAAGCACAGGGGTACCTGGAAGAATCACCCCTTCATTCTCTAGACTTCCCAGGCTCCTCTACTGACAACAGTGCCATGCCCACTGATAAAATAGTGTTCTTATTAGAGGCAGGTAGTAAAGGATGAGTTGTGGAAGCTGAAAGATAATAAATTAATGATGATTCACACATCCCATTGCATGACAGGCTTTTCTATTTTGTACTCTTTGAAATTATTGGTAAGAGTATCACACATAAAGTTTCAGAAGTTAATAGCTTGGAAATGATACTATTACTTTCCCCTTAGAGATCCATAGTGCATAGTAGGCCTGAGGCACCCTACAGCAAAGAAAATTATATTTTAAAGATTTTATGTATATAAGTGCTCTATCTGCATGTACACTTGTAAAGAGTAAGGTTTTTCGTGCCGACCTGGACCCACCGCATCATCAGCCCCAAATAACACACAGAGACACTGTATTAGGTATAATGCTCTTGGCCAGTTACTAGTTTCTTATCGGTTAGCTCTGTCTTAATTATTAACCCATTTCTATTAATCTAAGTATTTCCACGTGGTCTCATCTTACTGGAGAGTAGGCCCAGACCTCTATTCTCCAGTTTCTACATGCTGAGTCCTCCTTACTAATTCCTCTCTCCTCCTTGTCTCCTAGTCCCGCCTATCTTGCTTTTCCTATTGGCCAGCATGAGAAACATATTTACAGAATGACATCTCTCATTATACACTTCTATTCCAAAAGAAGATATCAGATCTCATTATAGGTGGTTGTGAGCCATCATGCAGTTCCTGGAAATAGATGGAACTGGGGACCTATAAAAGAGCAGCCAGTGCTCTTAACCACTAAGCCATCCTCCAGCCCTCAAGATCTCTCTGTTTCTGTCTGTCTCTCTGTGTTGTCTCCCCCCACCCACCATATGTTGCCCTTGCTGTTGGTAGCCCAGGCTGGCCTCAATCCACCTACCTGCCTCTGCCTCCTGAAATTAATCTTAATTTCTACTTTTGTTGTAAACCCTGTTACATGTTGCAAGTGTCATCTAAGGACTTTTCCCCCTAAAAATCAATTAAATTGAGACTGCTCATTATCCCAGATGTTCTCCCCAAAATCAGATTTAAGATGAGACTACCTACCATCAAAGTAGTTACCTAGCTAAATCTCTGAAAATTTCTGGCTATTGCATTAGGAAATTTTAAAAAGCTTAAGTGTTATATTTGGAAATGAGAAGAAGGTATCATTTGGAGGTGACATAATTGTCACCTCCCAATCCCATGGTTAAAAATAAAGAATTTGGAGCTAGAGGTATAGCTCAGTGGTAGAGCTGGTACATATCATTTATAAGACTCTAGGGTCAAGCTTTAGTACCAAGAGGAAAAGAAAAGTCTCCAGGAAATAATGCAAAGGATTATTGTAACTGAGTTCCATATAATAGTTTATTAAAAAGGAAAAGACTATATTATCTCTCATATGCAGAACTGTGTATGTGTGTGTACATACACACATAAATGTATATACATGTGACATGAAGGCAAAGGAGGACTATTTGAGGGAAGGAAGAGGGCTGACCTAGAATGTAGCTCAGTGGTAGAATACTTGTCCAGCACATATAAGACCCTGATTGAATCCCCACCAGCAGAAAAAGAAAGTAGTAATTAAGGGCTGTGCATGTAGCTTTATGATAGGGCATTGGCCTGACATGCATGTGACTCTGGGTTTAATCCTCTGCACAAAAAGTAGTAGCAATTAAAACCTTAATAACTTTCTATAATGCCATGAATGACAATATGAAGATTATTATTAGAGATGAATCTTTTATGTGACAATATATAGAGAGTATCTAGTAAGTAAAACAAGAAATACACAAAAAATAATTTCATTTAACCAACCTAGTGATACAAAAATATCTGTATAGTGGAAATATATACCATGTTGGTAGATAGTAAAGTTTGGTAAAGATGCTTAAAGTTAATTATAAATGAATGCAAATAAAATTCCCCTCATATTTGAGTTGTTTTTCTTGAGAGAGGGTCTCAACATAGTCCTTGAACTCACAGAGATCTACCTGCCTCTGCTACCTGGTGCTAGGATTAAAAGCATGTGCTACTGGCCAGTTTCCCTCTTAAACTCATGAAAGACATAACATGATCACAGAAATCTGTTTTATGCGCATTGATGATTCATAATGAAAGAGTATAGGTAGCTAGAAACCTGAGATACAGGTTTATTCTCAGTGGTAATCAAGTTATTAAATAAGGTATAATTTTTCCTCCTAAATACTAAGTAATATAGATGAAAAATGGGCTGAGAGTGTGCCTAGTTGTTGAATACTTGCCTACCTTGTACAAGACTTTGAGTTCAACTCCTAAACACCTAAAAAACAAAAATACTAAAGACGAAACTGAGTTGCATAAGGGAATTTAGTGATATTGGGATATATATACACTGAGGCTGGAGAGATTGATAAGTGGTTAAAAGCATTGGCTGCTCTTGCAGAGGACCAGGTTCAGTTCCCAGCACCCACATGTTGCCCCACAAGCATCTGTAACCCAGTTGTAGAGAATTGGATATCCTCTTCTGACCTCCACAAGCACTATACACATGTGATATACTTACATATGTACAGACAGCAGTTGTATTCATAAAACAAAAATCTTTAAAAAACATATTGTGCAAAACATTTTTCATAGTAAAAACATTTAAAAGTTATTAATAATATAGAAAAAAGGAATTCTACCGTATGTTGCTAAATACACAATGCATTCATTTGGGATTTTTTTGTAATGTAAGCAAAAGTCCTTAAGAGTTTACCTTATTCTTTGGCCTAGCGTTTCACCTTCTAGAAATAGGTTGAGGATGGATATGTGTAGAAATATTAGAAGTAATTGAAAGTTGAAGGTCATCCTGTTAATAAATTAGAGTCAGCCTGAACTACCTGAGACCCTCTCTCAAAAAGACAAAACAGATAACTGAAGTTGGTTAGACTGAGTGTAGCATATTCAGAAATAATATAATATAAAGATAGAAAACCATGGGATAATAATTCATAGTATAGTATTAATGTAGCCTATAAAATATTACACAAGTGTATGAATTTAATTGATTCAGCTCACCCTTAGGTGGTGCTTAACTAATACAGAAGGAATGCATACCATGTGGTAATACTTTTTGAGTTAACTTAAATATAGCTGAAACTAAAAATATGCAAGCTTTTTTTATTTAGGCTATTTTGTTCTTTGATAGTTTCCTATATATATATGGTTTTTTTAATCATTAGAGAGCTATTTAACAGAAAAGCAAACTTAGTGATGCTACTTGCCACAGAGTTTAAGTTCATTGGCTCAGAGTTTAAAGTAAGTTCGTTGGCTCTAGTGAAGATTTCAACAGAAGCAGTTTGAATAGAGTAAGACTAAAAAATAAAGGAACCAAATTGTAACTTAGAAAATGGAAGATGAGCTAGTGACTCTAGTATAGATCAACACTAATAGAAATAAAATTCTAACCATGTACTGTGGGATTTAATTTAGACAGTGTATTCAGTATATTACCATTTTAGCACAAAATACAAAATCATTAATGAAACATTCACTATGTACCATCTCAGTTCAGATTAAACTAGTCACATATAATTAGTGACCACTGCTGAACATGATGGCATGCATCTATAATCTAGACTTGGGAGGGGAGGCAAAAACAGGAAGATTGCTATGAAGTCAAAGCTAACCTCATCTTTATAGCATTTCAAGACCAGTCAGGACTATGTAGTGATACTCTTGTTTCAAAAACAAGTAAATTAATAGTTACTTATTGCACAAGTTGGTTTAGACTGTCCTATTGAGAAATTAATGTTAGGGGTTGGAGGTGTATCTCAGTAGTAGAATGTTCACATGTAAGGCTGTGAGTTTGATCCCCATAGCCACATATACCCTGTTTCAGAAGTAAAATATCTGATGAACTTTGCAGTTGCATTCCTAAATTTTTGCTATCCTTGTAGGTTTTGGTAAAACTAGTGTGAGCCGTAGAGGAAGAATATTGCCTGGAAAGAGACGTCCTTATGGAGTTATCACTGGCCTTGCAGCTAGGAAAGCAACTGGAATTCGAAAAGGAATTAGTCCTATGAATCGTCCACCTCTAAGTGACAAGGTAGGATGATGGCTTAATCCTGGGTGAGATACAATTGTGTGTGTGTGTGTGACTGTCACACACTTATTAGTGAATTTTAAGACAAGGTCTTAAAGGTCTTTCTGGCCTACAGGACTTGCTATGTAGACCAGGCTGGTCTTGAACCCACAGAGGTCTGCCTACCTCTGCCTCTTAAGTGCTGGGATTAAAGGTGTGTGCCACCACTCCTGGCTGAATTAATGTTTTTATGAATAAGCCTTTTGATTTCTTTTCAAAAAAAAATTTAAAGATTTTATTTTCAAGTGTGTGTTGTGGGGGCCAGGAAGTATGTGAGTATGCAGGTGACCTTGGAGGTCAGAGGCATCAGATCCCCTGGAGCTGGAGTTATAGGCAATTGTAAGCTGCTTGTCATAGGTGCTGGAAACTAAATTCAGGTCCTCTGAAAGAAGAGCTAGTCCTGTTATTTGCTGAGTCATCTCTCTACTCCTCCTTTAATTTTTAAGAAATTAATATTCTGTGTGTTTGCAGGCACATAAGTATAAGAATACATGTGTAAAGGTTAGAGGACAACTTTTGCAAGTCTGTTTTCTCCTTCTACCTTTATGGTGAGTTTCAGGAATAAACTGATAGCTATCAGGCTCACACAGCTGCAGGAGATATGTGCCACCATCGACCGGCTCCAGCCCTGATTTTTACTTACCTTTTTGAATCAGGATCTCATGTAGCCAAGGCTAGCCTTTGACTCCTGCCTCCACCTCCCAAATGCTGGAATCACAGTCATGTTCCTTCATGCCTTTGCTCTCTGGTTTTTATATTTAATATGTAATTTATTTATTTTGGTTTATTTGTTTTTGAGACAGTCTATTATATAGCCCTAGCTGTACTGGAACTCAGTATGTAAGCCAGGCTAGCCTCTGACTCACAAAGATTGGCCTGTCTCTGCCTTCCAGGTGCTAGGATTAAAGGTATGTGCTACCATTCCCAGATTGATTTTTATTTTTTAGATGAAGTATTTTGGGACTTACATAAGCATGTTAATAACTAAAGATCTTTGCCTTTCATAAATATACCTCATTTTCTAATACAGTTGTCCCTCAGTGTCTGTGGGAATTAGTTCCAGGACACTACTTTGATCTTCACATGGCTCAAAGTCAATGTAGTATTTGCATGTAAAATATGCTCATTCTCCTGTGTACTTTGTCATCCTTCAATTACTTGTAATTCCTATTACAATATAAATACTGTATAAATAATTGTTTTGCTATATTTAAGAAGCAATGACAAGCTGGGTGGTGCACACCTTTAATCCCAGCACTCAGGAGGCAGAGGCAGAGTTTGAGGCCAGCCTGGTCTTCAATGAGAGTTTCAGGACAGGCTCCAAACCTACAGAGAAACCTTGTCTCAAAAAACCAAAACACAAAAAGAAAAGAAAAACAATGACAAGAAACATCTATATACACATTTACTAAACTTAGTTTCTGTCTCCTGTTTTTGAGTGGGGGAGAGTTGAACCCACTGTTTGCCACCCCCAATCAATTATACTCTACCTTCTTTGTTAGTAAAATATCTTTTTCACATACTTGTTTTGGAAATTGGCCTTTATTCTGAAGTCAGCTTTAGTTGAAATAATTAAGGAATAAGCCTTATTTGGGCCTTACTTTTAGGAGTTTGTAGGTTCTACTGCTGGGAGTTGAAGAACAGAGCACAAAGCTTTGGGCCTCTAGTAAAATGGGTCATGGCAAAATGTTCATCTCTTGGCCAGAAATCATGAGTGAAAGAGGGAGGGTGACACTTCTCCGTACCAGTTCACCTGGCCACCCAGGAACTTAGGTATTTTTTAAGTGTAATATGATCGTCATCTTTTCAGTTCAAATTAGTTTAGTTTCTCTCCCTGTTATATTCAAGAGTTTTAGGGTTCTGTTATTGCTGTTTAGAAAGTGTTAGTCAGGCTTGGTAGTACACACCTTTAATTCCAGCACTAGGAAAGCAGAGCCAGGTGGAGTTCAAGGCCAACCTGGTCTACAGTGTGTGTTCAAGAGAGCCAGGGCTATATAGAGACCCTGTCTCAAAAAACAAAAGCAAAAAATAAGAAAAAAAAAATGTTTTTATTGTAGTAAGTATTTAACAGATGGCACTCTAACATTATTGTCTTACCTTCTAAAAGAATATAGAGCGATATTTTCCAGCGTTAAAAAGGAAGACAAGCCTTCTGAGGCAAAATGAAATACAAAGGAAACCAGTTGCAGTTCTCAAGAGACCTAACCAGTTAAACAGAAAGTAAGTACTCAAACAGAAGACAAGAATGTATTATCTGGAAGTATCTGTGTTAGTTACTTGTCTTATTGCTGTGCCAAAAGATGTGATGAAAACAACTTGAAGAGGAGTTTGTTTTAGGTAATAGCTCATTTTGGCAGGGAAGGTATGGCAGTGTCCACAGACATGAAACAGATGAGCTAGTCCTTTGCTCAGCTCACTTTCCTTTTTCTACAGTCTGGGTCCCCAACTCATGGAATGTGTCTCAGTTACTTTTCTGTTGCTGTGAAGAGACACCATGACCAAGGCAACTTACAGAAGAAACGGTTTATTTGGAATTTAATATTTCAAAGTCCATGACCATCATGGTGGGGGAGCGTGGCAGCAGGTAGATGTGACTTTGGAGCAGTAGCTGAGAGCTTACATCTTGATCCAGAAGTAGGAGGGGAAGAAAAAGAGCACTGAGAATTCTATGAGTTTTTGAGACTTCAAAACCCACTCCCTCCTCTAAGAAGGCCATACCTCCTAATCCTTCCCAAACAGTTCCACCAACTGGGAACCAAGTATTCAAGTACATGAGCCTTTATTCTTACTCAAACCACCACAGAATGGTGCCTTTTCTCTGTGTCGGATGTATTTTCCCACTTCAGTTTAATCTAATCTAAATACTCCTTCACAGACAAGTCCAGTCTTTCCTTAGTGATTATAAATCCTGCCAAGTTGCCAATCAAGGTTAACTCTCACAGTGTGTACAAAATACTTTCTTTGATAGATGTTCAGAAGAATGGATTTACAGTGACTCTTACTAGGTCATTTTAGTACATTTACTAGGTGTGGTCTGCAGTGTGGCTAGCATGTGGGAGACCCAGGTTTCCATCCCTAACACTGTGGGGGACGGAAAAAAAAAAAAGATACTTGAAATGTATCTGAAATCTAAGATGAAAGGCATTCTGTAGTAACTTTCTTATTTCTTAGACACAGTAATAGTAAGGAATTTCATTAATACAAACTTTTTAAAAAGTGTGTGTGTACATGTGTACCATGATGCGTATGGGGAGGTCAAAGAACAACTTGAGGGCACTGATACTTTCTACCATGTCGGTTGCAAGGATACAGTTTTGGTTGTCATGCTTGGTGGCAAGTGCCTTTACCTATTGAGCTATCTCTCTGCTTCTTTACCTCCCTTAACATATAAAATAAAATTGTAAAAGTTACCATTTTGGTGAAAATCCTAGCACTTGGATAATAGTTATTCAAAATTGGAAATTATAAAAGGTGACTTGATTTATTTTCTGTCTTAACTCTTAAAACACTAAAGCATAATATGGATTGTTTTGGGAATAGGCAAGCTAGTAAGTTACATAAATATTTCTGGGTTTTATTTGTTTTTCCTTTTACTTTTTATTTTTTTAAAAGATATTCTTGTGTAGCCCTGTAATCATGTAGATCAAACTGTCCTTCTGCGTCTGCCTTCCAGGTGAGGGGACTCAGGCATATACACCAGGCAGATATTTCTTACATTTAAACTGCTTTTACACTAAATTTAAGATTATTTAAAAAAAACAAAAAAACTAAAATTTTTGAATTGTCATCTCTAAAGGATGAAATAATCAAAAAGGCAGCTGGTAATTTATGAAGTTACTTTATTATTTGAATTTCAAGAGCTGATATTTATCTCTCATAAAATACAGTTTATGATAAAGACTTCAACTTGGATTGAAGTTATTCTATACATGCAGTTTTACCTAATGATCACTTTTGGAAATCTTTTGGTGTGGTATCTTTTGTTAAAGGGGGTCCTTTGCAAATGGAGATCTGTAATTAATGTGAGATTTCTGTGTTAATTGTGCTAGCTAGAGAAATTTTGCATTTGATCCTCTGAAGGTTGGAAATGAGATTTAGGTACTTGATTATGTACTTTTGAAATTTTGATTTTTTTCATATTAAAATGGTAAAAACCAAATCAAATGTAATTGTGTTAATCCACTAGCAGGTGGTGGCACACAGCACTCAGGAGGCAGAGGCAGAGGCAGATAAATCTCTGTGAGTTGGAGACCAGCCTGATCTACAAGAGCTAGTTTCAGGACAGGCTTCATAGCTACTGGAAAACCCTGTCTCAAAAAACCAATAATAGTAATAATGATAATAATTGTGTTGTTCCATATATGAAAGAATTAAAAAGTAGAAGTATAGCTTGAAATTTTTATCATTGCGTGAGTGCATGCCACAGAGCATGTGTGAAGGTTAAATGACAGTTTTGAGGAGATTTCTTTTCCTTTTGCCTTAAGTTTTTGGAATCAAACTCAAGTACTTAGGTTTGCACAGCAAGTGTATTTTCCTGCTGAGGCATCTTGCTGGCCCTGGCTGTCTTGTAACTCAACTTTGTAGACCAGGCTGACCTCAGACTCACAGAGATCCACATGCTCTGTGCTGGGATTAAATGCGTGCTCCACCACCGCCCTGCTCCAAATCCTTTTTTTTTTTTTTTTTTTTTTTTTTTTTAAGATTATTTTAGTTTGTGTGTATGGTGTTTTACCTCCATGTTATGTCCATGAGTCACATGTTTGCAGTGCCCACAGAGGTCAGCAAAGCATTCTGGAACCCCTGGAACTGGAATTGCAAATGGTTGTGAGCCTTTGTGTGGGTGCCAGGAATCAACAGGCTCCTTGGAAAGAGCAGCCAGTGCTCTTAACTGTTGAGCCCTCTCTCCAGCCCCAAGTCTTTATGTTTTCAGATCGACTGTGAGTGTATCTAGGTATGATTTTCTTTTAACTAATCTTGTAAATTGTAATTTAAGAAACATTTAGGGATAGGAAATAATAGCACTAAAATGTAATTTTGTAAATGTCTTCAGAAGCTATTAAATATTAGAGAGTAGAATATTTGGGAAATAGATCAGTTCAAAACCAAGTTATGTGTAAATAAAATTTATCAAATTGGAGTCTATATTATATGCTTATCAGATTTTAAGCTTGTGAGTCTTAACTGTTTTGCTTTTTTTTTATTCTCAAGGTATTTGAAAGCAAAGAGGCTGAGATTACTAATACATTTTTTTTTTTTTTGTTGCAGAAATAACATTCCAGCTAACTTTACCAGGAGTGGAAATAAACTAAGTCATCAGAAAGATACTCGTCAGGCAACTTTTCTTTTCAGAAGAGGCCTGAAGGTATTAAAAAGCACTGGTTGTACTTCCTTTACTCCCAGTGGACCCTTTCTTGGACTATTGTTGAGAGGGAGAAGTAGGTATTAGTGTGAAAACAAGACGTTAGGTTAGTTCTTTCTGTTAATGTGGGTTTTTTTCTATTTCCTGTCTTTTCCTTGTTTATATAGTGACATCTTACAATAAATTACCTTGCTTATTTACTAATAAACTTGGGTTTGCATTTGTTCTGATCCAGGGGCTCCCAATAGAGGGTGTTGCTAGCATGAAGCAGGCCCCTCCTGGACTCATGGTCATGTTTACCCTGGGTTGTAAAGTTACAGTTATAATAGCAATATGACTGACCTTAAATTCTGTTTTCTATGAGATCAGCTGGGGTCTTGTTGTTTATTTCCTTTAGTTTCAGGCCCAGTTGTTTTCTGTGTGATCTTCTGGGGTCTTGTTGTTTTTATTTCCTTTTAGGTTCAGGCCCAGTTGAACACAGAACAACTGCTAGATGATGTGGTAGCAAAGAGAACTCGTCAGTAAGTTTCACCTCGTTTTTTTAAGATGTTATTTCTAAACTCATAAAACTGCCATCTGTTTCAGTGTGCAAAAAATTAATAAAACCCAAAATGACGTTCTTTCTGCAGTTGATAAGTGGAACCCAGGACCTCACATGTGCTAGAAAATCACTGAGCCACTTCTCTAGTCCCCAAAGATTCAGGGTTTCAGATGTCTGTTTAGTACTGAGTTAATAAGCTAATTCTTCACTATTTATTCAATTTGGATGGTATAGATTTCTCTCTCTTTCTCTCCTTTTTTCTCTCCCTCCCTCCCTTTCTCCCTTGTTCCCTTTCTCTCCCTCCCTCCCTCTCTCTCTCTCACCCTCTCTCTCTGCCTGCCTCTTTGTCTCTTTCTCTGTACTTTCTTGTATACAAATAAGCCTGTTTAATGAGTGACTAGAATAGAACCTCTTAGAGCTTTTAGAAAATTTATAAAACTTAAAGGCACAGTAGAATTTTTCTCCCTGCAACCCTGTAAAAGTCTTTTAAAATCAGCTTCTGTCCATTTTTCCTCCCAAGTATGACTTGTATAGTTCTCTGATTCTACTAAAGTTACCAGAATTTGGAATTTTTTTTTAGACACTTCTATTTTTTTAAATATTTATTTTTATGTGCATTGATGTTTTGCCTGCATGTGTGTTTGTGTGAGGGTGCCAGATCCCCTACAACTGGAGTTACAGATAGTTGTGAACTGCCATGTGGATGGTGGGCATTGAACCCAGGCCCTCTAGAGAAGCAGCCACTGAGCCATCTCTCCAGCCCCTGGATTTGGAATTTTTTTTTTTTTTTTTTTTAAAAAGCAGTTAAGTTTTTGTAAAATAAAAGGTATAGGTGGTCATGGTCCAGATGTAATGTTAACTACAGTAAAGTGTGATTTTGAGCAGCCAGCATAGCATAGGAAATTATTTGAACCTGATGCTGGCTGGAGACACGAACCAAAAACTACAGGAAGAAAATAATAGCCTATAAATAATAATCATAGCCTGTGTGTGCTTCTTCAGTGAACATTTATATAATAGTGATATTATATACTGTTTATGCTGAGAAAAGGTCTTGTGTGACTAAGCCTCAAATTCAGTGACGTTTGACCTAAGCCTTGAACTCCTTATCTTCCTGCCTCCACCTCTCAAGTACTGGGCTTACAAGTGTGAGCCAGCATGCATTATTTATCTGTTTTGAGCTTTGAGAGTAAAATGTAGTAGAGAGCAAAACATAGTTTGGGAAAAATATAATGAAAGTATGCCAGATTTTAGCTAATATAAATAAATATATAGGTAGAGCTGGCACTTTTGTGGCATCCACCTGTAATCACAGTGTTTAGAAGACTGACACAAGAAGAGTCAAAGTTCAAGATTAGCCTAGACTGCATAGTGAGAGGGAGAAGGAGGGGTGGGAACAAAGGTAGAAAGAAGTAGAGAGGCTATTAAACTTCATACAAGCAGACAGAAATCAGATGGAATAGAAGTAGGGAAGCTGAAAACCTTGTTTCAGCTTGGAAAGATTTTTGTTGTTGTGCTTTGTTTTTGTTTTGTTTTTTGTCTAGGAAGAACTTTTTTGCATAAGCATCTTGTTTAATGAACTAGGAGTAGCCAGCAGTCAGAGCAAACAGGAAAGATCAGAAATTCTGCCTCTAGGTTAGAAATAGTGTTCCTGGAATGAGAGATTGCTAGAGACTCCTCCACCTTGAAATTTTTCAAATGTCTGTATATTTATTCAGGTTTGCAGTTCCTACACCTAAGATGTTGGTGCATTAATTAGATCCTGATGGGGTCCAGCGTGTGTGTGTGTGCGTGTGCGTGTGTGAGAGTGTGTGTGTGTGTGTGAGAGAGAGAGAGAGAGGGAAAGAGAGGGGGGAGGGAGAGGAAGAGGGGGGGAAATCTAAAAAAAATGAATGGCTCCTTTGCAGATGTGTAGTTTAGAGCTGAGAGTTCATGTTGGTAGTGGAACACTTGTCTGCTACACTCAGGCAGAGGTGGGATGAATATCTTATATTGGGATGAACTGTAAGATTTGCAAGTTTCCATTTTAAGAAAAATTTGACTCCTAGATGGCGTACTTCCACCACAAATGGAGGAATTTTGACTGTATCCATTGACAACCCTGGAGCAGTACAGTGTCCGGTGTAAGTCTCTTTCTTCTTTCCTTTCTTTCCTTCAAATGGGAAATGCTGGACTTGTGCTCAGAGTATACTGTCTAAATCAGGATAAAATGAGATGCAAGCAAATAGAATAATTGTGATACTAACCAGGCCTTTAGTCCTAATACTTGGGAGGCTAAGACAGGAGGATTGCCATGAGTTCTAAGGCCAGGTTTTGATACATAGTGAGTTCAAGGTTATCTTAGGCTAAGCATTTCACTATATATATTACACTAAAAAACATAGGTTAATTTAATTTAAGGACCATGACTTAGAAATTGCCAGTCATTTAACTTGTTAAAAATATTGTATAGATAGGACAGGAGAGATAACTCTCTGTTCTTGCGTAGGATCCGAATTCAGTTCCCAGCACCCACAGTGTACATCACAACCATCTGTAACTTGAATCCCTGGGGCTCCAACACCCTCTCCTTGGTTCCTGGTCACTGCACACATGTGGTGCATATGAATACATGGAGGCAAGCACTCACACACATAAAATGAAGAGAAAAAACTTTTAAAAATGAGTTATACTTTAAAGGGTATTCTAGGAGCAGTTATAAATATAAAGGTGAGGGGCAAGCACAACATTTTTACTGTTTGAAAGCACAATGTAATAGCTGTAATTGAACTTGTGTAAAGAAATTTTGAGTACTTTTATCTGGTAAACTGATTGAAACTTTTTCTTTGTTAGACCTCAGAAACCACGATTAGCTCGTACTGCTGTGCCCTCATTCTTGACAAAAAGAGAGCAGTCTGATGTTAAGAAAGTTCCTAAAGGTGTCCCTCTACAGTTTGACATAAATAGTGTGGGAAAACAGGTAAAAAAAATTTTTTTTCCAGTATTTCTTTGGACCACTCACTGACAGCCTTCTGATAACCAAAAAATTTTATAGCAAATTAAATGGGGTGGCCTAACCCTTTTCCTAACCCCTAGGCAACTGCTAATCTGTTTTTTGTCTCATAGATTGCCTGCTTTGACAAATCATTTAAGTCGGATTTTTGTTAATAATTTCATAATTTATTTAAAGTTTCATCCATATTAGCATTTTCTTTTTTATTATGTGAATAGTGTTCATCACATATATATGTCACATATTATGTCATCTTTAATTAGTTGGAAGTTTTTGTTTTCTTTGGCTACTATAAATCTATTTTGTTAGTTTTTGTTAGCATGTTTTTTTTTCTTTCTTTCTTTTTTTTTTTTTTTTTTTTTTTAATAAATGCCAGTGTCTATATTTGATAGATTTTTGGTAGACTGTATGTTAACTCCACATTTAACCTTTTTAGGAATTACCAAGCTGTTTCCCAAAGAGTTGGCTACAGCATATGTGGGGTTTCTAAACTTCTCCACATTCCTGTTAACATTTGTTATCATCTATCACTTTGGGTATAATGACAAGTGAGTGTAAAATGATATCTCACTGTGGTTTTGACAATTTGTTGTTGTATTCTTTGTTCTTGTTAAGTTTACTTTAGGGGGCTGACTGTTCTCTTATGTAAGTCCTGAGTTCAATTCTCAACACCCTCATGGCTTATTACAACCAATTATAATGGGATCCAATGCCTTCTTTTAGTATGCATATGTACATACAAACAAAGTGCCCACAAACATAAAATACATAAACAAATTTTTAAAAAGATAAAAATAACACCTTGGTTGATCAAGTACTTTAAAAAATAAAATTGAACTTTATAGTCAATCTCTGGATTCCTTAGGGTTTTCTATATAAATACTTGTTTATTCTCTAAATTCTTTTCCAGTGTTAAAACCCTTTTTCTTACTTTATTATAATGGCTAGCACATTGACTACAGCATGGAATAGGCATAGTAGGACCAGTGTGCTTGCTGTGTTCCAAAGCCTGAGGAAAAGCATTAAAAGTTTAACCATGTGTGTAGTACTGTTAACATTGTTTGCAGATCTTCATACCTAAGCATGCCCATTTCTCTGAGTTTGAACTCAAAAGTATAACTTTGCTTTTTCCCCTTTTTCTTCAGATACTGACCAATCCCGAGCATACTTGGTGAGACTCGGGGCCTTCTTTCTCTTTGCTCTACCCCACTCCTCTTTATAGCTGTTTTCAGGTTTCCATTGAGGACTATCTTGTTTCCCTTCTCTGTCAGATATTGGGAATTACAGCTTGCCTGCCTATAGTTTTTATTCTCAAACTCTAATAGTTCTTAAATTTAAATGTGTATCTCTGTTGGCTTTAAGTTTATTGTAGATCCTCTTTATCAGATTGACGGAGTTCCCATCTTACTAATTTTCTGAGTTTTTACTATGAATTTATGTTGAATTTCATTGTACACTTCATTGGAAAGCAGCTTGGCAGAAATAAGGTCCTGGTATTTAATTAGGTTAGAAGTATGGGGAGAACTTGGTTTTGTTTAATGAAAGAGTACATGTTTAGCATAGACCAAGTCCTTCGTACAATCTCTAATACCAAAAGTGGAAAAAAAGAGAAACAAATGTGTTCTATGTTATTTTGATCATATCCTTAATTTCTTTTCTGTTTGGAAGTATTTTGTTAGTTGTTAATCAAACCAGAGTTTTGTTTGAATTTTTATAGAGCACTCAGCTAAAAACTTTATTTTGAAATACTGAGAAGTTGAAATAACAGTAGTTCTTTTAATTTTTTAAGTCATAGCCTCATACTGTAGCCCAGGCTGGCTTCATACATGATTTTCTTCCTGCCTCAGCATCTTGGGATAATAGAAGTAGGCTACCATTTCTGGATATAAATAACTTTTTTTTTTTTTTTTTTTTTTTTTTTTTGAGACAGGGTCTCACTGTATATCCTTGGACTAGCCTAGAACTTGGTATAGATCAGGCTGGCTTTAAATTAATAGGTCCACCTGCTTTTTCTTCCTGAGTGCCAACACCATTTGAAGTAACTCTTTACCAAAGGAATCACTAGAATTTGTAATGTTTGCAGAGTCACTAGTAATAGTAGTAGTATGCATGTGTTTGTATAATATGTAATGTAGTCATTTTAGTGATGGGAAGATAAGGATTCTTGGATTATCTAGTTTTAAGTTCTAGAGCTATACTTAACCTGGCAGGTGAGATACCATGATCATGAAGGTGGTTTTCTCAGGTGATGCTTATCCATTGCACTCTGGATGTGCTTACCCCTGTGATTTCCCCAGTTGAGGAATCTCGACTGTATAATTTGTGGTATTGGGGGACTGCATTCACACTCTCCCCTTGGGAGGGGGAGAATTCTATAGCTACTGATAGGCAACTTAATTATGTATGCCTCATTTTTGTTAGAGTTAAATTATACAATTCAAGATGTTATGTATTGCTATTACTAATTACTATTAATCTTTAAGTCACATATAAAGGAAATAGTTTTTTTCAGTCAAGTTAATTTTTCCCTTTTTTTCTGTAGACAGGGATGACTTTGAATGAACGATTTGGGATACTGAAAGAACAAAGAGCCACTCTCACATTCAACAAAGGAGGAAGCCGCTTTGTAACTGTGGGCTAGATCTATGGCCAAGGAACTCTTAAGTGATGACTGTTTGAAAAGTTGAATTGCTTGAAGAGTTCGTCAGAGAAGTTCAAGAAACTTTACTTCAGAATATTCACAAGCCTAAATAACTTTATTTTTGAAGGTTTTTTTTAATGTATAAATAATGCCCTGAAAGAATAACAGGGAATATCTGTTCTTAAAGATTTCATGGTTGGCCCAAACAAAGCAATTCTTTATTGACTTCTTAGATTCCTCATGAAGCAGAAGGAAGACAGAAAGATAGAAATTGATTATTTTTCATGAGTGTGGTATTTAGGATCTTATCACTTTTGTCCAGTTTGTAGACTTTGCCATGGTTAATCTTAAACTTCAGAAATAAGAGTACACCCCTGTGTTTCTGTCACTAATCATTAATGTGCTGAGGTACCAAATACAGTTGCCTTTTTGTCATTAGTGATATTTTTTAAACTGTAGGAGAATTTCAATTTTGGCGTTTAAGATTTATGGAAATACTTAGAACTTGTCTTGTTTTTCAGTTATTGTTAGATTAAACCCCCTGAGTTCTAAGCATTTAGTATTGAACTTTTAATAAGAACATGGCTCTCAGGATTTGTCTCAGATTACAATGTGTCAGAGCTGGAAATGGTTATTTGCGAAATTATCTGGCAGGGCCTTGCAGGAGATGCCCAGTACAAAACCCTTACAGTTTGTCTTTAGTAAATGAAGAAGACACCAGAAGCAGTAGCAAATCGAAAGATTGGAAACAGAAAAAAAATAAAAACCTGAATTATAGTTATACTCTTGATTTAGTGCTGTGTTAAGTCTAGTGCCCATAGATTCTTAAAAGAATTTCACTTTTTAAAATGAATGGAATCCTTAGGTATTTTTGACAGTACACTTACTGGACATAAAGTCCTTTGCTTCATATTCAAAAAAAATTTTTAAAGGTCAATAAGTTATAATTTACAACCCCCCCCAAACAAAAATCTACTTGTCTTTGTCACAAAGAAAAAAATTATAATGAAGTTACACTTAACTGTACACGTTCACTCTGTTTCTTTCATTTTTTTTTTTTTTTTTTTTTTTGTTTTTGTTTTTGTTTTGTTTTTTGAGAGGGTTTCTCTGTAGCTTTGGAGCCTGTCCTGGAATTCGCTCTGAAGGCTAGGCTAGCCTTGAACCCAACAGAGATCTTCCTGTCTCTGCCTCCCGAGTGCTGGAATTGAAGGTGTGTACCACCACTACCCTGCTCACTGTTTCTTGTATCACTCAAAATTCAGGCATTATAGAGAGAAAGGGTTTTTCTCTTTCTCTGGAGGTCTGCTGTGCCAAGATAGTGCTGAGAGTCCTCACATAGTTGTATGATTTGAATTACAGTAAAATGCCAAAATGCAGTGACATATTCCAGCTACAGGTTATCAAGTGTGGTCATTTTGAAGCTTGACCTTTTGTTTTGCTATGTTTTCAAGTCTCGGAGTGGGTGTTTAAGTATCTCTGATGTTGATTTCTCTTGTAAAATGAGACAAAGTACTATGCTTCCCGCCCGCCTTGATTGCATCGTAGACTCCATTGTCTTTGATGCTCTTTGAATTTCTTAATGGCTTATGCTAGTCATGGAAAATCAACAACGATTTCATGCTTATACCAAAGATCTAAATCTGATCCTCAATGTCTGTTATTTGCCAGTACTTCTACTTGATAAGGGATTTTTGGAAGCCAATCATAGAATTTGAAAATAAACTATAGTTTCTCCTTAGCTGTGATGCTTTTCATTGAGGCCAAGGACTCATTATAAAACATTTTTGCCAATATGAATATTTATATTTGGTTCAGGAACAAAACATTTTAGAGTGGTTTGCTGGTAGCTTATTTTAAAGCAAAGGAAAAACAACTGAGCATGGACACTATCTTTGGGACAATTTGTGAAAATACAATATAAAAGTGTTTCCTGTTGTTTTAAATGTTATTATACAAAGGTATTAGTAATTCCGTTTTTGGAAAATCTTAAAAATTGCCCAAATGTTGACACTAAATACATTGAAAAACAGTGTCTTTGGTGTAGTAAATGTTTGCTCTTCATGCATCTGTAATTTTCTTTCAAAGTGAATTTTGCCTTTGATACAACTAAGTTAAAACTCTTGAGTGCTAACATGTTATATATAAACAAAACAATATGCTTTGTTGAAGGAAAATTCCCTTTCTTGGAATGTGGTTGTAGTCATCTTTGTTCAGTTTTTGAAGCCTTTTTTTTTTTTTTTTTTTAATTTAAACAGGGTGCAACTTAAAATTTTCCTTTGCATCAAGGTGTATGCAAAGCATTGATGCAGTGCATCACAAAATGAAAGTTTGTATTTAGTGAGGAGGTGCTTTACACTGTACTTTTTGGTGTTTTTTGGAAAAGTTACATTAGATTTATTCTGAAGCTGTTCATTTTTGACAAATAAAATGTAACAGGTTTCACACGAGTTATTCTGAGCTATAAAGATTTGAGTTGTGGTTTTTCAGTTTTGTAGTGATTAAATTTATGATTTCTTTTATTTTCTTTATTTTTGTTGTTTTTTGTTTGTTTGTTTGTTTTGTTTTGTTTTGTTTTTTGAGACAGGGTTTCTCTGCGTAGCTTTGGAACCTGTGCTGGCACTCGCTCTGTAGACCAGGCTGGCCTCTCACTCAACAGAGATCCGCCTGCCTCTGCCTCTGCCTCCTGAGTGCTGGGATTAAAGGCGTGTGCCACCACCGCCCAGCTATTTATGATTTCTAAGGATTTGAAGTCAAATCTGCCCTCTTGTTGTCCCTCTAACCACCTTTTGACCATTTCATGCATAGGTAACATGGGATTCTAACATAAAGTAACTGGGGGGAATTAAAGCTTATCAAATTGTTTACAGCATAAAGCCTGAAACCAGATAGATGAGCCTTTAGAAATATCTGCGTTAGTCCCTTTTGACATCTTAGCAAAGTGACCACCAAGGTATTATTCTAAGACTTAACTGTGGCGGTCATGTTATGAGCCTCACATCTTATAATTCTTGATGGACAATCAACCACTTCCCACATAAAACAGTAGTTTTGTGGTATTTAACATGTCAGATATCTAAGAATTAGTAATAGCCCTATCTCAGCATTTGTGGTATGTTCAGTAAATCTACTCTTCTAATGACAATTCCTACTTTATTTGATATTGAAGTTCATTAGGAAAGGCCAGTGTTTCCAGTGTATACCAGGAAGGAGATTAGGAGATTACTTATCAAATTATAAAATACTTATATTTAAGAAACATACATGAATTGTTCTTAGTTGTTTAGTTTTATTAGAAGTATATATAATATATTGCTATCTGTATTATAATTCACACACTATATGCAATATGGAGCTATTTGACTGAGGAGATTAGAAAATAATTGACCTATCACTACAAAGAATTCCATATATTCTGAATGCAGGTAGTATTAAAGCAAAAAAGTGCTTACTCATACCTGATCAGTAGACCTTTCCCATTTATCTGGAATTATTTATTTTGCCACTATAAAAATCTTAGTTGAAGATGGTGATTCTTTTTGGAGCTAGAGGTTTTGGATGGGGTGATGTTAGTCTCCATTTCCCCTTCCTCTCCAGGCTGTGTATCCCTTTGTTATGCTTCAGCACTCAGAGAACTAGGTTTATAGGTATATGGCACACACACTACCCAGTTTTTTGTCACATTTCAAAGACTGATTTGTGTGTTTGTGTGCCTGCATGTATGAACAAGCAGTGAGCAATCTTCACCCTCTCCAGCCCTGCTGATATTTCAGGATGGGTACTTCAGTAAACACCAAGCATTTGTGAAAGAATATTGGGAACAGTAAAGATCTGCTGGGAAATTATATACTCACATGAGATATACTAATGTATATATACTATACTGAGGATGAATAGGAAGCTGTTTACTTAGTGTATGGCCATTAATGTCTACCCCTTTCCCATTCCTTTAATGAGAAGAAACGCATTAAATTTGGTTGTATAAATGTTTTTAATCAATCAGTCCTTATTAAAGGAGTAAGAAAGGCAAGTGTAATGGCACACACCTGTGATCCCAGTACTTGGGAGGTAGAGGCAGTAAGGTCACTGCAGGTTCCAGTCTGCATAGAGAGTTCCAGGCCAGGCAGACCCAGACCTGTCTCAGGGAAACAAATACAAAATGACCAAATATTGTTGAATATTCACCAAATCAATTTCCTAAATTTAAAGAGGATGCAATACACCCAGTTTTTAAACTTAATACCCACAATGAAATTTTAATGACTCTTCAAAGTTATTGAAATTTGCCTCTAGTATTGAATGGGTTAAGTTTTAACCTATAAAGTAAACAGGAAGAAGGGGGTTTCTGGCAACTCCTAAGACTGAATAACCTTCCACTGCCCTTTGTTCAGCTTCTCCTTCAAATGGTAGTTGATTTCTGTATCCTTTTGACCAGAACCTTTTTACAGCTCTTTAGTTCCTTGCTAAAATTATGAACTCTCTGCGAAGACCCCATTTCTTACAATATGGTGCCTACTTTATAAAGACTGAGGAGCTGGGTTTGATAGTGCCTGTCTATAATCTTAGCACTCAAGAAGCTGAGGCAGGAATATCAAAAGTTTGAAGCCAGCCTGGGCTACATAGATAACTGTCTCAGATTTTTTTTTTTTTTTTTTTTTAAAAAGAAGAGGGAACAAGGTGAGAACTCTTGTTTGTGTTTACTTCATAGTTGAAACCCCAAGTCATTACACATCTCAAAAATATCTCTTTGATCTCAAATTCTTCAATAACTCAGAAACACTTTTAGACTGTGTGTGTGTGTTGCCTGAGTTTACATGTATGTGCCATGTGTGTGGCTGGTACTTGCCAAAGTCAGAAGAGGATATTGGGATCCCCTGCAACTACAGTTGGGAGCCACCATGTGGGAGCCACCTAGTTTCTCTGCCAGAGCAACAGGTTCTAACCAGTAAGCCAACAGTGCAACTCAGATTTAATTTTACATATTGTGCATGGCGTATGTTCTCCCCTGTGCACACATGTGTGTCGCAAGTACACATGTATCACAGAGCACATGTGGAAGTCAGAAGACAGCTTGCTTTCTGGAGACTGTGCTCCCACCACATGGGGATCAAATTCAGGGGGTCAGGTTTGATGGTAAGTACCTTTGCTCCCTGAGCTATCTTGTTGGCCTAAATATTTTATTTTGAATAGATACGTGTGGCTTTTTTTTTTTTTTAGATGACATGTCACTGTTGTCAGATACAGGATTTAAATTCCTGTGCTCAAGTAGTTCCCTGCCTTCATTCATTCTTTTATTCATTAGTTGCTTGATTGAGGTAGGATCCCACTAGCTCCCTTAGACTGACTGGAGCTCATCGTTCTCCTTGCTTCCTCCTTTGTACTCCCCATTTCCAAATAACTTTAAAATACCATCATGTTTGTATGGTGTATGGCTGTATGTGCTCAGAGGCCAGGTGAGGATGTTAGTGTCCTGCTTCATCACTCTTGAAATACAGTCTCTCTCAGAACCAGTAGCTAGACTGGCACCTAGCCACATTGTTGGACTTGTAACTCAGATGCTGCCACACAGATTCTTTACCTGAATGCTGGAGATTTGAACTTGGGGCATCCTGTTCTATAACAAGGAACTCTACCCTCAGAGCCATCTTCCGAGGCCTCACATTCTTTTTTTTTTTTTTTTTTTTTTTTTTTTTTTTTTTTTTACTTATATTCTCTCTGTTTTGGAGACATCTTCTCACATAATAGTATGTGTAGCATCTTCATTTCTCCCCACATCCACAGATCTTTCAATTAGTTTATTTTGGCTTCCAGCTATCTACAGACTTTCCTTACCCTGTTCTGAACATTTCTAATTCCCCCTCTACATTCTCTCTGGTGTTAATATATAAACTACTTCTCTTGCTTCCCACATTTCTTTATTACTGTTCCATATGGTCAACCTTCCTGTGATGTGGGAAATGTGTATAGCATCAAGTTTAATTCACTAGTGACTTCAAGTCAAACAGACTTCCCTCAACTTAACACATCTGGTGAGTCCAGGATTAACATAGTATGTTCAGATTGCAGTGGAGTGTGCATATTGTTAGGAAAAGGGCCATATTACTAAGAATTCGTCAAAGTTCACGCAGATATAAATGGCAATAGTGCATTTGGAAAGGTACATCTGGTAGTCTTGTAGGATTGTATAGTTTATGTGTGTGATGTGTGAGTGGGCACACATGCAGGTCAGAGAACAGTCCCTTTCCACCATGGGTTCTATGGATTAAACACAACTTAGGTTGTGTGACAAGCTTTTTTCTTCATTGAGCCATCTTGGCAGTCCAAGAGAGGTATCCCTTTGTAGCTAAGCTGACCTGGATCCTCCTGCTTCAATCTCTCAGGTACCAGAAATACAAGCATGTGCTACTGAATAGCTTAGTATCTTTAAAGAATAACAAGATTTCATAAAGAACAGAAAATACATATATTGGATAAACATTAATTGACAAAGACTACACATTACTTGCCATGAAGTGAAATTAACAGACATTATATGTATTGCAAAAGAAACTAGACTGTCACATTATGGAAAGCCAGGCATGGTATCAGGTATTATATACTTTGCTTTGTATTTTCAGGTCTCAGAAGGCCAAGGCCAACCTGGGCTACATGGAGACTCTTATCTAAAAAAGAAAAAAAGAAGAAGTGCATAGAGCAGTTCTCTGAGCAGCCCTTACTAATCAACTTTATTATTGAAACATT